CACACAGACAGAAAAACACACAAAAAAAACGCGACACGTCTCACTGTTCGGCACATAGGTCCATCAAAAAAGCACGCGAATCACATTAAACGGACAAGTGATTATCCAACACCGAAACGAGGACGGGTACTTTCATTGCCCTGTCGACGGATGCCTCTACCACCATCAACGCGCAAACACCCTCAAGTCTCATCTCCGGCACAACCATGAGAACATGCCGACTTCAGTACCGGCTGCGCCTGCCGCCTGCCCTCCTAATCGTCAAAAACCTGCTCGGACGCGCACGAAAAAACGTGTGGTCAAGCTTGATCAACAGCACGGCATTGCCGCGGCGCGAATTTTCATGGACGAGATTGCGTGCCTTGTATCCCCCGTCTTTGAGTCTCCAGTGTGCACGCAGTGCGGCCATGTCCTGAGAGGCAGGGTGACGCATCATCTGTTCAAAAAGCACCATGTGCGCTGCAGCCAAGAAGATATTGATGCAGCCATGGCACTCCTGCGCCCGCTGCAGCCCGAGGAGCCGCTGATCGACCTTGGGGCAGAATCTGAGCCTCGGATGCCTATTGAAGGCATCCCCATTCTGGACGGTGTGGGTTGCCCCCTGTGTCAGGCATGCTTCACGACAAAAGGCAGTCTGTGGAATCACATCGTAGCTGAGCATCCCGACGATCCAGAGGCCAAGCAGCCGCCTCGACGAGTCAAGCTGCAAAAGCCGCTGCGTGGTGCTGGGGCCCGCTGTGTCGAGGTCATTGTGGAGGAAAGCCACGACGCCTCGGCAGCCGATGTGAGCGAAAATGAGGAGGAGCTGGAGGAGCAGCAGCGGTTCAAGCAGTTTATCTCAAGCACCCAGGCCATGGCCTCGGAGGCTGAGGATAAGCGATGCCCGCACGGCGTTCACCAGATGCATCCGTTCTACGACAGCGTGGGCATGACGCTGGTCATCAACGAGCTGAAGCCAGAGCGCATGGTCGAACTGGGCCACAACACCCCGTCGGCACTCCTCGAGTCGGGCATGCATGAGCTGTTCTGGACGGCCTACGAGCAGCTCTCGGATCAGGGCCTGGCCGCCGCTGCGGTTACGCGTCTGTTTGACGACAATGAAGGGCAGTATCAACATCGCCCCATGCGGCAAGTACAGCCGCAAACCGTCAGCAGGTACCTGAGTCTTGGAACACGCCTGGTCCAATTTTTGCTGCTGCTGGAGGCCATGCCAGCCCCCGATCCGTTGAGCTTTCTGGGCCAGGTGCTTGCCAGCCGTGGCCCTGCGGTAATTGATGCCACCGTGGCTCTGAGTGCGGGCCTGGACGCTGAAATGACCAA